TCAATTTCAACTTATTTCAGTGACAGCTGTTTTCTCCCCTTCTTTAATGGGAGGGTGTGAATACATTTGAGGACGACTGCATCAGCTTCAGATATTTAGGCAGCGTTTCAGTTAAGTAGGTCCACAGCTGTTGTTCAGACAGGTTAGCCGGGCAGATGTAAGATAACACTGCTTTTAATTTACACAACACTGACCAACTAATTAAAAACATAATCATAAAAGAATCAAACAAACATTTTTATTTGCCTGGCAGAGCTTTTTTTCTGCAAAAATGCTCAGGGCTTTATCATACATGGCATCTTAATTTTGTCTTTCTTCAAACCTCAGAATGCAACGTGTTGATGGTCTTCTGTTCTGACTTAGAGAAGAAGCTTAATATCTTATTTCTAGTGTTCAACTGAGCAAAAAGAAAAAAAAGAAAAAAAATGGAGCTGTTCAAATAACACAATACCACAGATGACAAGTGAGAGATGAGAACAGGCTGTTGACTGCCGGACACACTTGTTGCTGAGCTGGGATTTCTAGTCTGTGACCAACTATCATCTCTAATAAAACTGCACTTAGTTGTTTTATGACATCTGTTCTGTTGTAGAAATGCTGTTTCATGGAACAACAAATATCGATTCCCCTATGTGAAAAAGAATTTAATAAAACATTACAATTTGAATGTCACACAAAACTAAAACACATAAAGGGAGAGTGAAAATATAACGAGTTCATTTATCTGCTCTGACTTTGAACTCTGACAATGAAAAAATGGTTCTAGAAGCTGTAGATTGTGTCGTATACTGGCTTCGACGTTCCTGATTGTGTTGTGATGTTAGCAGTCAAGGAGGTTTTAATTATGCTGCTTCTCTGGCTCAGAGCTGATTTCCGTGGCTCACCTCAGAGACAGTGGTGCTGTAGAGCTCCTTGGTGAACACCGGGGCGTTGTCGTTGATATTGTTGACTTTCAGCGTCCGACTGTTGTTGTACTGAAACATTTTGTTTTGTGACGTTACTGCAAAGATTCTTAAATTTTGTACTGAGACGTTGGAATTGCACTTACCTTAAAAATATCATCACACATGATAGAATAGTACAAGGTGCCAGCACTCTGTAAGACACGAACACAGCAGACTTTAGTTCCTTGGCAGCAACATACAGGACAACTGAACCTGTGTTAAAAGCAGATAAAGTTAAAAATGTCTTCTTTTTCTCTCCACTCCAGCCCAGTGACAACCCAAAGAGGGAATTAAAAAGACTGCAACACTAAGTCAGACTGCTGGAACCTCACATTAGTATTGTTAGAAGCATAAGAATGATAACTGCAAACAATAGCAGCGCCCATGCTGAGACCATCACTTACGCTGGTGTGGCACAAAAACTGATGTCTCATGATGTTTTTTTCTTTTCTGCATGGCAAATAATTGTAGACTAAATAGCCTGCAATGATAACTACTACTTTCCCAAAAAGCTTTGTTTTTTGAAGTCATTCTTTGCTATCATTTGCTTTTGCAGCCCACACTGGGGCTTTTGTACAAGAGCTACGATTAAATTGACAGCTAAACCCAACTCATACATACTTTAACCCATGAAAATATGGCCACTCCTTAGCTCAGTGCCCTGCTTTCAATGTATACATGTTTATATATAGTCGTCCTCAAATGTATTCATACCCTTCCAGTCACTCAAATAACTAGAAACTGAAAAAAGTAATAACAAATAAAAATGTTTGAATATTCGAACATAGTGAACCTGTCCTTTAGTGCAACAACCACGTCTGTTAAGTCTGGTGAAGTTTGGAGTTTTAAAGAGTTGCTATTATGCAAATTAGTGTTGACTCTTAATATTTAACCAAGACCATTTTCCTAAACCAACCAAGTTTAACCATAGAGACCAGAAGTCACTGTATTGTAAGAGGAGATACTTTTGGCTGAACTAATGAAACATGTCGTCGCTGAATGTTTGGCAGTTTCCACATTTGACAGTTGTGGTGACTGACAACATTTCCTTCTTGTGTTGATGTAATCTAGTCAGCAAAATGCATTTGCTGCTGCACATTAGCAGCTTATTATGTTTAATTTGTAGGAGACAAGGTTGCTCAAAGGTGAGTCGGTGGTTAGCACCGTCGCCTCGCAGCTAGAAGGTCGCCGGTTTGCGTCCCAGTGAGGACACCCGGGATCTTTCTGCGTGGAGTCTCCATGTTCTCCCCGTGCGGCGTGGGTTCTCTCCGGGTTCTCCGGCTTCCTCCCACAGTCCAGAAACATGCTGAGGTTAATTGGTGATTCTAAATTGTCCGTAGGTGTGAATGTGAGTGTGCTTGGTTGTCTGTCTCTAAGTGTAGCCCTGTGATAGACTGGTTACCTGTCCAGGTGAACCTGCCTTCACCCTGAGTCAGCTGGGATAGACTCCAGCCCCCCATGTGACCCTAGTGAGGATTAAGGTGTAGAGATGATGAATGGGTGGATAGACGCTCAAACTCACATCAGTCAGTGTGTCTGCATCCAGCGGTTTCCTGGTGCGAACTGTTGCGGTGGTGTCTCCAAGCGTGAAGTGCAGTTCCAGATAGTCAAGGTGAGGAGGAAAGAGGTAGTCCACAAGCTTCACGTTGCTTCCTGCCACGATGCCGGTCACCAGCTCCACATCCCCTGTAGCATCAGGGGAGGATTGTGAGGAGGACAATATCAACATACCTACACACAGCACTCATGCAACAAAACTTGTCCCTGTGTACCGTCACTACCTCAGAAGTCATTGATGAGATTTTCATGAACTTTAAATTCAAAATGATTCCGACTCTTCATGCAGGGATGTCACATTATGTGTAAAATGTGTGATTAAGTGCAAGATCGATGTACAACAACAACAACTAACAACTGCTGTCTGATAGGTGACATGACAGTCTAATTTTACGTTCCGCAAATCTAAAGCAATGAATAACACCTTACCTGAATATCCTTCATCCACTGCACCCACATGTTGAATCCCACTGGCCCCAGCACAGTTTATGGCTGAAGTACCTTCAGCAACAGAAACAACACGAGTTACAACAGACGAGACAGAATATTGTAGAATATATACGTTACATATATTAGCAGATTACCAAAATTACATAAAACCACTGTCTATCACAGCACACAGCTGTCTGGGCGAGCAGAATGCTTCAGTTTTCTGTGCCCAGCTTTCAAGACATCTCCTGAGATTTCTGCTTCCACAAGAATACAATGAGGGTTTACAGGAATCAAAGTGAGGTGCTCAGAGCATTCCTAAATTTAAATCTGACTGCAACATTTTTTCCTGAAACAGGGCCCAGATTACTACAGATAATCCTCAAGCCTTGCTCAGTTTCTGTGGGACTACACAGTATACAAAGGAATTATCTGCATGAAAAACATGTGGAAAAAGTTAATCTGTACGTAACAACCAGGAACAATCAATTTTACCTTTTGATTAACTGTAACAGCTTCAGCAGGTAATGTTCTCTTATTTACCCGACAGAATAAAAGGCAGACAGTCCTACTCAGGGAAAAACCAGCAACGTCTGTGTTCTTCAGAGTGTAAGCACCTCTCAAACACAATTTGTGTAGAAGAAGTCATGGTGCCACTAGAGGAATGGTCAGGGGATCACAGAAGTCAGTAAGTTTTATTCTCGGGTGACCATGACTGTGAAGACTCTCAGTCATCCAGGTCTTGGTTGTTCTTGTGGATTAATCATAGCAGCTGGTCTTGCTTGAGTTCCTTGAAGACGTTCCACCTCTCATCCAAGAGGCTTCATCAGTTCTGATTGACTAGTCGGGAGTTCCAGATACTTACGTTCTTGAGGAGCCATGAACACCTGAGTTTCGGTATCAATTGGGGGTTTGTTGCTTCTCCCCCTCGTTGTGTGAGTCAACATAACGAGTTTCCCCAGTTGAAACTGAAACTCAGGTGTTGATGGCTCCTTAAGGATATCAGTATCTGGAACTCCCAACTAGTCAACAGAACTGATGAAGCCTCTTGGATGAGAGGTGGAACGTCTTCAAGGAACTCAAGCAAGTCCAGTTCCTCGGTTGACCGTGAATGTCTGCACACAATTCCATGACAGTTCATAGTGTGATCTAGACTGACAGTGGGCAAACAGACGAACGCTTTCCGCCTTTCCTGTTAGCACGGTGCCAGCATGACTAAAAATGTACAAACACAACAAGAACTGTTTTGCTGTTGTTGCCCTGAACGTCGCAAATTCAACCAAACCCTGAACAAAGGTCAGTCATTCTTCACTGTGCGATAGAAGCATTTCTGTTTATACATCAAGTGCAATACTCCTGAAACATCTTGAACGCAATATCCTGGTTGCTTTTTATTTATATTCATATTTTTCATTCTATATTCTATTTTTTTTCTCCTACTAGTTCTCTGACGAACAACCCTCTCTCTGTGCCGGACATACTGTTTCACATTTAGACATCCTAGCTCAGAAGAAAAGTGCATTTCCTTAAGTGTTGAACTGCTCCTCTGAAAATTTTGATAATTTCATATTTTGAATTCAAGTTTTTAGTTGGCTTCCTACAACATACAAACAAACATTCAATGCAGACAAGTGAAAACCTGATTCTCCAAGTCTCTGTAACCCTACTGGAGGGATGGAACCGTTCGTCTTAAAGATATTTCCTAACTTGGGGTTTGGTGATGGTGATGTAGAGCCCTGTCTAATACAGCTGTGTTGGGATCTGGCAGTTTGAGTTTCAGGAGCTGAACATCCTTTAGCGATTTGACCTCACATTAACCTCCTTCTCTATTTCTCTGGAAATCTAACGTTTGAAATTAAGCAGAAGTAAAATATTTCGGGTAAAAATTAGACAAGAGGTTGGCAAAAGATGGGTTTATTTTGATTGAAATAGGGCCAGCCTTAATTTAGCAGTTAGGAAAAGGTTTTTGAGGCTACATGGTTCAGTGTTTTAGGCTATGGGGACTATGAGGACCTCTAGACTTCACTGCCTAGACTCTGTGTGTCAAAGCTCTGGAGCTCTGAATGTTGGATATATCCAACTCGTTGTCCAGCAAACATCACTGTGTATTTTATAATCTGGTTTACCCTATTAAGCAGCACTGGTCTATGTTTTATTTACAAAGCAACAGCAGATAAACTCCATTCTTACTCATTTTCCACCAGACACACGTTTGAAATGCACAGATCTGACAACAAAACGGACAAAATACAGAATATATTGACTGTATATTCTAGCGTTTTTTCTATTCAAGATGAAACTGTCCTCAGTCTAATTCTGTTGCTGCTGTGCATCAACATATTTACCATCAAAGCTTAGTTCATTATTGTTCATTACCTCGTCTTATCTGCACTGAACTTTGATACACGGAAACTCAAATCTTTAGGGCTGGAAACTTAAGCCTGATCAACAAGATATGACACCAATGTTGTTTAGCCTTAGCAACCACAAAACAGATAAACTAGGCAGCCATCTTTACTTGGGAAGGATTTATAGACAGTTTGAAGCTACATTCGCTCCAAGAAAAGGCGTCACCTGTAGATCACAAACACTTGATGTAGTTCTGTTAGATTTAGAAACAAAAAACATGTCAGTACTGATGCAAAAAGCATTACAATAATCATCATTTCTGTAGTAATCCAGGGCACAAACTGAGCACAGACCACGTAATCCTGATTCTTCCCACCGTGTATGATTTTAAATAAAATCTGTGTCCATTTTTAAGCTCACAGAAATCCATCCGTTCGGTCTGCACTCACCTATCGGACTTCCAGTGATGACATGCCCACTAATGCACAGGCCGAGGATCAGACAAGTCCAAATCAAACCACCGGAGCCCATATTGGCTCAGTTGTGTCTCCACCGAACCTGGAAACCGACACTGAGCGGATTACCTGAAACACAGGTGTGTTAGTGTCTACGGTTACTCCGCCCTTCTTCCCAGCAATCGTGCTTTATTGCAGGCTGTAAAGTGTTTTGCTGATATCAAAGAGCAGACCATGTCTAAGTTTCATTTCCCTTAAAACAATCTTTTACCTGGAGGAGCTGTTAGGACTAAATGTACCATCTAATAAAACCTCATTTTAGACACACATTTTAGATTTCACAAGTAAATTTTGATCTTGTTCACACTTTCATGTGAATTTTACTGTTTTTTTTTCCTTCTGTAGATTGTCAAATCTTTGCAGAGGGTTGTAAAAGTATTATGTTCTCTTTGAAAACAGATTTTTCCTGTTTGAGGAACAAACTTTGAGAGGATCATGTGATGAACAGACAAAGCTGATACTAAATAATGCAATAAAGGCACAATAAACAGCGCACTTTTGGGTAAGTTTCCGTGTCTTTCAAGCATTATTGTGCCTTTTAAATATAGCACACAGTAACCAGCCACATAACAAGCTGTGTTTTTCCACGAAGCGGCACGAACCAAGATGAGCAGCGTTGCTCTGCTATTGGCGGTACTGGCTTTCATTTAACCGTGTTAGACTACAGAGGCGCAGGTGGACAGAGCGGTTATTTTCTGGTTTACCTTATTAAGCAGCACTGGTCTATGTTTTATTTACAAAGCAACAGCAGATAAACTCCATTCTTACTCATTTTCCAACAACTGTTATGACTTTCTATAAAATGACTGTGGCAGTGAATTTATTCCCATTTCAGATTATAAACCGTAGATGGGTGGAAACATACCTGTTATGTAAAAGGATGCTGTAAACAGCCCTGCTGCTACTGTACAGCTCTTTCAGGTTTTATTTATTACTTCTCTGTGCGGCCAGCAGGGACAGTTGTTGACTTTTGGCAAATATTAATAGAGATAAGATAAGATTTTTATGCCAGTTTGCAAATCTGCTGTAATGACCTTTATGACAATGGATTACAATCTAACAAGACTTCTCACATCGAGTTTTACGAGTGTATTCGTTATAACAAGTTTATTATTGTTATTATTATTATTATGTATTTAAGTTTATAGTAGGTGTGTGAATGATCACTGATCAGTATTATTAATGGAGGGCCCCAAAAATCATGCTTTGCTTTGGACCCCTTGGAGGCTTGGGCCGGCACTGGTACCATCAACCATGGTTGTGCTGGACAACATTGAGAGGTTTGCTGCTTTGTATTTGCTGTGGAAGGCCCAAAAACAACAGAGATCCAGACGCTGCCGTGTCCGGGTCCATCGGATCCTCCAGGGACACACACAGCTCGGGGAATTCCGGCCACTTCCAGCGCCATTTTCGGCTGACCCAGTTTGACGACATGTCGGAGAGGATCGGCACCAGGATATTCCTCCAGGCGCTCTATCCCAGCTGCTGAGCGCCTGTCCATCCATCTCCGCTGAGTAAACCAATATTCATGGTGTAGTTGCAAAAAAATTAAATAAAAAACCAGGTAAACTACATTTGCATGAACCCGTGCACTTGGGCCTCAATGCAGTGATTTAATTAATAAAATCACGAACCAACTTTTCAGCAGCAAGCTGTCTCAATACACTTTAAATGTTTGTTTTTG